CGAATGCCAAAGGTAAACTGTATGATAAATATGTTAACTATTTGCGAAGTTTGCGAAATAATGGATTGGCTTCTTCCTCTAGAAATACGATTGAGACTCAGACTGCACCAGGTATATTTTTACTTTCTTTTTTAGAATATTTAACGTACACTGATTTAAATAAATCATATTCTTTCTTTTCATGAACACATATAATTCTAATTTCAGTTGTAAGTGAAAATATTAAAGGCCAGTTGGAATGGCTACGCACTCATAAGGAACCATTTGAGGATGTAAAGGCGAGATGGGAAGCAACTCATGAGGCTAGACTTTATATGCTACGGAATACAGAAAGTACACAAACTATTTTTGATTACATAAACGACTTTAGTGTTTTGCAATTGAGTTCTGGTTATATATTGGTAAGCAACAAATTTAAAATAGATATAAATGATTTAAATATATTAATTTTGATTCCAAGTTTAATATAAGACTTTGACTTACAGCTGTTGTCAGATTTTAAGAATTTATACTCAGACTATGATTTGCACATGTGGAGTAAATGGCCTTCTTTGTCGCAAAAAATATGTACACTTCTGAAATTAAAAGGTATGTGTGTGTTATATTTATATATAACAAAATATTTTATAAAATTAACTTTGATTTATGATATTTTATGTTTATCTGAATTAATATAAATTATTAATAAATTTTTGTTTCTATTCATAGATGAAAGTGATCTTGCTATTTTTATGAGTTTGGGAAATATTTTCACTCCTACTCCAGTACAATTAGAAAATAATAAAAGGTAGAAGCCAAACGCTCAAGAAGTACTTGATGGATTTATACTTCATGTAAAGGTACATTTTTTTTCTTTCAGTGAACTGTAATTGTTATTACTAGTTTATTCTTATTCTTTAATAAATATTTAATTCATCAATGATTACAATTATTAAATACAGTTATAATTACAAATTTTTAATTCCAGTTTTACAATTCTTAAAATATATGTATTTTTTCTGTAGATAAACAACGATTTAACACCATCTATGGAAAGAATCGTCTTAAGAGCACAGCGGATAATATCTATTACTATTAACGCCATCTTTCAGCCGGCGTGAACTAACAAATTTAAGAAATTAGGCTCTCGAGTGAACTCACAAATTCAAATAATCGCGGGCTAGTAAGAGCCAGAACGCGGATGGCAGTGCGTCAGTTTCATAGAAAAATAAGTTTTCTATGAAACTGAATATGTGCACAGGGCACGAAATTTACTTGGTGTATACCAAGATTTTTTTAAAATTAATCTTAATTCGAGATTTACAATAATCCCTCTTGCTTTTTCCTTGTGTGCGTTATCCCTTCCCACGCTACGGCAACGGGCAGAGTCTCAAAACTGGCATCCCTGCCACTACCTACTACCTCTTGGGGCTAAGGTTGAACTTAGCCCCGCCGGGTTGTACCAGCTCTGTATACCTACGGGACTGAGGTTGTACTCGGCCCCGCCGGGTTGCACCGGCTCCTGTCACTACCGCTCCTAGGGCCGAGGTTGCACTCAGCTCCGCCGGGTTGCACCGGCTCCTATCTCTACCTAAGGCCAAGGTTGTACTTGGTTCCGTCGGGTTGCACCGGCTTCCGTTGCCAAGGCAGGGTCCGATGTGACACTCGGCCCTGCCCGCAATACCCAGTTACCTGGCCTGACCCTAGTATATAAGTCGCCTGTAGATATCGCGCCGTAGTCTTAAGCCTGTTCGCTATAAGTCCGCTAGTAATAAGCCTGGTAATAATAAGTCCGCTAGAGATAAGCCTGCTAGTCATAAGGCCTGTTAGAAATAAGCCCGCGAGATATAGCCAGCGCCGTAGACATAAGCCCGCGTGTAAATAAAACCACCGTAGACATTAAGCCGCGTCCGCCTGCGCTCCCGCCGCATACCGCCTTGCGTTTCTCATACCGCTTCGCGCCCGCCGCTTTACACGTCCCGCTGCACACCGCACCGCGCCTGACACCAGCTTGCTGCCTACCGCTCGCTCACCGGCACCGCCTGGCCCTGCACGCTGCTTTGTATATATCTATCTTTATCTAAATAAACTATCTTTTCTACCTACATTGTGTTCTCGTAAGCTTGAGTCTCCCCTCCTCTCGAACCCGGACACCGACGAGCCGAATGGATACCGTTCGCAATGTTCACATATAATACGACGCCGCACACAGCTATGGGGTATACACCCTTCGATTTAGTCTACGGGCACCAAGCGGATCTACCTACGTCACTGACGAGACCGCCTAAACTGACATATAATTACGACAATTACGCGCAAGAATTAAAAGAAAAACTAAGAGCAACGAATCAGCTCGCAAAAGAGCATATCAAGGAAGAAAAAATTAAAGCCAAAAAACAGTATGACAAAAATACTAGAGAAGTAAAATTTAAAGTCGGCGACAAAGTACTAATGCATGACGAGATCCTCCGACGCGGACGATCTAAGAAACTTGAATCTCTATGGACCGGACCATACGTAATAATTGAAAAAAATTCAGACTTAAACTACACGATAAAAAAGGGGAGGAAAACAGTTCGCATGCACATAAACAAATTAAAACCATTTATAGAAAATTAAAATAAAAACTTAATCTATTCATTGTTTGAACGACCGAGAAATCGCATCCGCTGCAAAGTGCGACGGGCAAAACATGCATAGAAAAATAATAAAAAACACGGGCAAAACTGCAATACGAGGAAACTGTAAATTAACAACCTCAGACATGACAATACAAACGAAAGAAACTGTCTACGAGACAGACATAGAGACCTACTTACCCGAAATCAATATCACATTTTTACGGGACCAAAATACACTGACACACGACAACGACACCTTAAAGGACGTAACACTACACCGAGCAGAGTTAGTGAAATTAAAGGCCCAGTTAGAAAAAATAAATAATAACAATAATTATAATCGTAACCGTAATATATATAATCATAAGAAATAAAAGGAAACATACGAAACGACCGTCAGTCAGGATATACGAAGAAGACGAACTACGTATATCCTACGGATTCCCAAACCCATACTAAAACGTAGTTTAAGTACACGATTTTAGATAAGTATAGGAATAATAAGAAACGATTATACCTCATATTATATACGGGAAAAATATTGTACATTAGAATAAGAAAAAATAATTTTATTTGTTTTGCGAAAAACGTCACTTTTACACCTCCGTTTTTCTCTTTTTTTTTTACGGGGAAGGGATGTTATAGCCCAAAAAGGCTATACACGAATTACTAGAGATATATTATTTTAGAGATATATTATTTTATACGGTAAGACGTTGCTCAACGTGTAACGCGAATACAGATCACGTTACGAACGTTGACCGAGTGAAGCGCTGACAACGCGAGCCACGCGCGAAGCCCGAGCGACCGCGCAACCACTTCATTGCGAAAACGCGGAAATCAGGGCAAGCGGAATAAGGGCATTGCGAAAATGCAAGCAAAGAAGTCCTACTTAGAACTCCTTAGCTTGCATCCGGATCTTGCCAAAAATCGAGCGACACGACACATGGTATTGTCGCTAAACGATCCCCTCCTGGGAAACCAAGAGGAGATAATAAAAAGACCCATCGCTAACGAGCGGCGGGCAGTCTTTATCCTTAATTAATATTAAGCGGGCAGTATCGCTAACAGTCGCGAGTGTCAACAGCAAGTGTCGATAATTATTGCAAAATCGAGTAATCACGCTTAGTAAAAATCGTGGAGATCGAGAAGCGAGTCTCGCGACGTAAACCCGACTCCAAACACGCGCACGCGAGTGTCAGTTAACGCGATACGCGACACGAGTAGATAATAAAAACGAGGACGAATTATAACTAAGACCATTTGTAGTGAATAAAATCTTTATTTAACTTAAAAAGTGTTTAGTGTTACGGGTAACCAGCCAGACGCATCCCAGATTCCTAAATCTTAATCCGGCAACGATCCCGAAATTTACCGTGCCTCACCCGAGGCATAACAGTTAGTACTACAATTAATTTTGATTTCTATACTTATTTCTTTGTAACATTTGCATATTATTATTATTATTTGCGATATTATACGTGAATTTTTTTTTTTTAGGACAAGAAATAAACTATGAAGCGCTCATTTGCTTAGAAGCAAAAGATTTAATATCACTTTTACCCAAAGCAGGGCCTAGAGTAAAATTTTGGGAAAAAACTGGAAGCTTATAAGATTGTAACACTTGAGGTAAGTACAAAAATATTAACTAAATGGCCATACTTATTTCCAAATGATATTGACAATGCAATAAATAGTCGTCAATTTTGTATATTTCGAAATATTTAAAATGTTTGTTTGTTGTTCATTAGCACATCATTGATTTGTAAATTTGCATTCGTATAATTTTGCATTTAGTTTAAATATTAAAAATATTCATATATATTTAGAAGATTATTGAAGATAATACAATTTTTTATAAATTAAATAATTTATATATTATTTTATTGATTTTATTTCTTTATCTTTATTGATTCGTGTAATTTTGTATTTAAAATGAAACAAACACTTGTAACATTGCTTGATATATTTTAGATTGTGTTGATAAGCTCATATTTTTATATTTTCATCAGGGAGATAAAACATAATACGTTATTTCTGTCCATTTTTTTTAATTTCTCCTAGGTTACTTTTTCTCCACAAATCTTATCCTTAAATGAAAATGAGGTTGAAAATATTGCACAAACTTTATCTTTTGATGAAGATAAGATTGAAACTATTGTTATGTCAAATATTGAGGAAAATGGCTCATCCCAGCACTTTCTAAACACTCCTGCCTGCGATATTATTGAAAATGTTCCTTCTTCTAGCAGCTTGCAAGAAGAAATCATTCAAAAAAACTGTGTTCAGCTTAATCCTGCACATACATTACTATGTAAAGAGAAAGAAAAAACAAATGTAAGTTCGACAAATAATATTTAACGTACACTGATTTAAATAAATCATATTCTTTCTTTTCATGAACACATATAATTCTAATTTCAGTTGTAAGTGAAAATATTAAAGGCCAGTTGGAATGGCTACGCACTCATAAGGAACCATTTGAGGATGTAAAGGCGAGATGGGAAGCAACTCATGAGGCTAGACTTTATATGCTACGGAATACAGAAAGTACACAAACTATTTTTGATTACATAAACGACTTTAGTGTTTTGCAATTGAGTTCTGGTTATATATTGGTAAGCAACAAATTTAAAATAGATATAAATGATTTAAATATATTAATTTTGATTCCAAGTTTAATATAAGACTTTGACTTACAGCTGTTGTCAGATTTTAAGAATTTATACTCAGACTATGATTTGCACATGTGGAGTAAATGGCCTTCTTTGTCGCAAAAAATATGTACACTTCTGAAATTAAAAGGTATGTGTGTGTTATATTTATATATAACAAAATATTTTATAAAATTAACTTTGATTTATGATATTTTATGTTTATCTGAATTAATATAAATTACTAATAAATTTTTGTTTTTATTCATAGATGAAAGTGATCTTGCTATTTTTATGAGTTTGGGAAATATTTTCACTCCTACTCCAGTACAATTAGAAAATAATAAAAGGTAGAAGCCAAACGCTCAAGAAGTACTTGATGGATTTATACTTCATGTAAAGGTACATTTTTTTTCTTTCAGTGAACTGTAATTGTTATTACTAGTTTATTCTTATTCTTTAATAAATATTTAATTCATCAATGATTACAATTATTAAATACAGTTATAATTACAAATTTTTAATTCCAGTTTTACAATTCTTAAAATATATGTATTTTTTCTGTAGATAAACAACGATTTAACACCATCTATGGAAAGAATCGTCTTAAGAGCACAGCGGATGAAATATAAAGTTCAACCTTTAATTGTTGCTGTTGGAGCGACATTGGCTGAATGTAAAGATTTCTACGTTGTGATTGATAAAAACTACTATCATTTTAATGATTGCAAGACTGCTGTGGATGTTTGTTTCAAAGCAATTCATGCACTTCATGCACATTATTCACCACAGAATAAGACAATTTGGTATTTTCTTCAACATGGTCTTTATCAATTGAAAACTTCTTGGGATAAAGTTATACCACAAGTAAGTAAAGGACCAAAAAATTTAGAAAATATAATGGAGTAATAATCAATATTATTGGTATTATTGGTATTATTGATATTATCTTCGAGGTTTCTCTCTCTTTCTGAAGTGTTTTCAATTTTGTTATTAATCAAAACATTAATTAATCAAAGTATTCTTTAAAAAAATCATAAGAAAATAAAACAAAATCATTTAAAAAAAAATCATACAGGAAATTGATATAATATCTAGTGATATATTATTATTGGGTAGAATAACTTATCTTTTAAGCTATACAAATATTTGAATCGTTAATATGCCTCGTTGTATAGTCAAAGCGTGTAAGGTTGAGACTCTTCGTACGATAAAGGCACTGTATCTTCATATTCAATTTTATCACAAGTTTTTAAAAGGAAAAATTAAGTGTCCAGAACACCAATGTTTGAGAGCTTTCAATGGATGGCAATCATTTCGGAGACATTTACTCACATTCTATAAATTCCGTTCAGTAACATCAAATTATCGTCCAAATGCTGATAATAATAGAAAACATAACGTTTTTGATAAAAGCGAGAGTAACAATATTGATAAAAGCGTTAGTAACAATGAAAACTACAAGTCATTTGACAATGCTGTTGAATATATACAGGATTTTGCTTTATCATTCGTAGCCAAGTTTTATGCCAATCCTAATCTCTCCCAAAATATTGTACAGGATATTATAGATAATACTCATGATTTTTTGGATATTATTGTAAATTCAGTAAATTCATCACTTATTTCTTATTTAGAAAGTAAATCAGTAGATCCAAATATTTTGGATAAAATATAAAGTAAATTAGAACTTTTTAAAAAACCTTTTAAAGGTATGGAAACAGAGTACCTTCGATTAAAAAAGTTTCAAAATAGTGGATATTTTATCAAATCTGATGATTATATTATTGGAAGTTATTTTCGTGACAAAATAATTAAAAGTAGAATAATGAAAAAAACATGCGATATTAAAGCTAAATTTATATCCATGAGAAAGGTTCTTCAGAGTTTTTTACCTCTTCCTGGAGTTTTGAAAACTATTTTAGACTACATGGATAGTCTATCAGAAGAGAAAGGTATAATATCTAATTTTATTCAAGGCGAATTATGGCAACATAAAATACATGCGTTTTTTCAAGGAAAAACAGTCCTCCCCCTTTTTATTTATTATGATGATCTTGAAGTATGCAATCCACTTGGATCTCATGCTTCAATTCAAAAGCTTGGAGATGTTTTTTATTCTATTCCATGTCTGCCTCCTCAGTTTCTTTCTCAGCTGGAAAATATTTTTTAGCTCTTCTTTTTCACTCAGTTGATCGAAGTCAGTTTTCAAATACAAGTATCTTTACCATTCTTGTTGATGAAATAAATTACTTACAGAAAGAAGGTTTAAAAATACAAACGAGAGAAGGTTCTTTCCATATTTATTTTGCTTTAGGTCTTGTTTTGGGTGACAATCTCGGATTAAACTCAGCTTTGGGTTTTACTGAAAGCTTTAATGCAACGTATTTTTGTCGATTCTGTAAAATGTCGAAAAATGATTCTCATTCATGCCCAGTGAAAAGAACAGATCTTTTGCGCACTGAACAAAATTATAATAATGATCTTCTTTTGAACAATATGAAGGAAACTGGCGTAAAAGAAAATAGTGTATGGAATAAAGTTAATTATTTTGTTATGTCTCCGGAGAGGCACGGTAGTTAGGATTGTTTGCCGGAAGGAATTTGGGAATTCGGGCTCCTTGGTTTCCGCGTTTTCGTAATGAGTGATTGCGCGGTCGCTCGGGCTTCGCGCGTGGCTCGCGTTGTCAGCGCTTCGCTCGGTCAACGTTCGTAACGTGATCTGTATTCGCGTTACACGTTGAGCAATGTCTTATCGTATAAAATAATATATCTCTAAAATAATATGTATCTAGTAATTCGTATATAGCCTTTTCGGGCTATAACAATTTTCATGTAACAGCTAATGCTGCTGTAGATAAAATGCATGATTTTGATGAAGGAGTATACAAATATGGAATGAGCCATATATTATATCACTATATTTATGATATCAAAAACGTATCTCTTAATATTTTAAATGAGCGTTTGAAAGGTATTGATTACGCTTCAAATAATATTTCTAACAGACTTCCATCTTTAAGAAAGGATGAAGTGAGAAAGAAGAAATTATCTTTTTCAGCTAGTGAAATGAGTTATTTTTTGCTTTTATTTCCATTTATTGTTGGAGAAGATGTTTGCCATGATGATGTATGGGAATATTATTTGATTTTACGTAAGATTCATGATTTAGTTAATGCAAAATATCTCCAAGAGGAATGCGCTGAGCTGCTTGGAGTGTTAATAGAAGAACATCATGTAAAATATTGCAATCTTTTTATGGATAATCTAAAAGCAAAACATCATAATACATAAATAACATGACACATTATAAATCTGTAATGAAAAAAAGTGAACCTCCGTCTCATTTAAGTGTTGCACGATTTGAATCAAAAAATCTGTTGGAGAAATTGTTTTTACCGGCCAATCTCGTTCCACCCTTTGATACCGACAGCGACCTTTTCTATCTTTTTCTAACTTACTTACCTTCTTCCTCCCGACTCTTTTGTTCTCTCGTTCCTACAAGGACACGTTATTTTATCACTCAATAAAGCTATAATTTTCTCGTGCATCCAGAGTGATATTTATTTGTGCCTGCCTAATTATAACAGGTTATGGGCCCAGGCAAATAACGCGAGAAATATTTTTTCGATAAAAGGTGAATATAATTAGTATAAGATACTCTTGAAGCTGACATTGAGGTTATCTCGCCGCATCGTGCAATAGTGGAAAATATAACCGAAATAAAATGGAAAGTGAACTCACACGAGTGATAAAGCTTAAAAGCATCGAGAACTGGGGAATATGGAAATTCCAAATAAGAGTAATTCTGAATTCCCACGGCGCGCTAGATGTCACACTGGGAACGGATGTAAGACCGGCGGATCCAGGAGATACCACGAACGAGACCACACGTGCTGCATATACAAAGAACCTTGCGACATGGAACAAAGCCGACGCAATAGCACAAAAGGTAATCGTGACAACCGTCGGAAAACAGCCGACGCTTCATATCATAAACTGCACAACAGCTGCAGAAATGTGGCAAAAATTGACCTCAATTTATGAGCAGAAATCAGAGGCAAGTATACATATGCTACAACAAAATTGGTACAATGCTACGAAGAAGAGTTCAGATGACATTGCCACACACATCGCCAAGCTGGAGGACATTGCGCACAGACTAAAGTTAATGGGTGAGACAATCGCAGACTCCATGATAATCACTAAAATTCTTATGGCATTGCCCACAGGCTATCGACATTTTGTCAGTGCCTGGGAATCAGCGCCAACGGGAGAACGCATATTAGAAAATCTAAAGGCGAGACTCATAACTGAGGAATCCAGACACACTGTGCGAGAGGACAAAAATGATAACGTTCTCTCATCCAAGGCCCAACGGAAAATCAAAGCATAGCAGTGGAGAATCTAGTCATTGGGCCAGAGACTGTTCGCAAAAGAAAGGAGATGATGACAAAGGAGGACGCAGTGCATCAGAGAAAAAACTGCACGGTGAGGGATTGGTAAGCGAAGCTCTTACGTCAACATTTTCAGAACACATGAGGAACGCAGTCTGGTTCCTGGATTCCGGAGCCAGTAATCATATGTCAAATCGGAAAGATTGGTTTACCACGTACGAAGTTTTCGACTCCCCTACAGCGGTGCGTATAGGCGACGGAGGCTGTATCAAGGCTTATGGAAAAGGCTGCATTAACGTTACCATGTTTAATGGAAAAAGTTGAATCGAGAATCATCTAGTTGACGTGTTATACGTACCTAAATTAAATTACAATCTGTTCTTGGTTGGAATAGCACTAGACAAAGGTCTTGAGATGCAGTCGACAAAAACTAACTGCGAGCTAATCAAAGATGGACGCATAGTAGCCATGGGAGTGCGTCAAGGTAAGATGTATGTGATGCAGTTCGAGGTCACCGAACCAAAAAGGTCAAGGTCGAAACAGGGACTACAAGCATACATAACCTCAATCTCAAACGATATGCTGAAGGACTGTCACGAAAAACTGGCCCACCAAAATTTCAAACACTTCAAATCCTTAATAGATTGCAGATATCCGTAAAAGGTGGAAAAGACCCATTCTGCGAAGCATGTACCATGGAAAAGATGCACCGACTTCCCTTTCCGGATAGTAACACAAAAACAAAAGACATCGGTGAAATTATACATGCCGACCTCTGCGGACCCATGCCTACAAAATCTTTTGGACGATCGAGGTACTATCTTCTACTAAAGGATGACTACTCATACTACCGTGAAATATATTTCATTGAGAGCAAAGCGGAAACATTGGATCGTATAGAGAATTTCCTAAAGAAGGCGGAGAAACAGTGTCCAAGAGGTGTTCGGATTCTTCGGACGGACAACGGACTCGAATTTGTTAACAACGAAATGAAGGCATTGACGGATAGACTCGGGATAAGACACCAGCGGACAGTAGCCTACACAGGAGAGGAGGCCTAACGCAGGAGAAACGGGGCAATGATGATCTATGGTTAGATGATGAAAATAATCTAAGTCAGGACGAAGACTCAGATAATAATCCAGAACCAATAGAAAACAACGATGAACTACAACTCGAAATACAAGAGAAGCATCAGATCCAAATGCTCCAAACGCTGAAGCACAGCCCGAAGACGCAGCAGAAGAAGTGAACAATGAAAACGGAGACAGAACGGCACTGCAACTCCCCGCTAGGTACCAAAATAATATATTTTTTACCGAAAATGAAGAACCTCTCTCATATCAAGAAGCCGTCCAGAGTGAAGAAGCAGCGCACTGGAAGAAAGCAATGGACGAAGAAGTCGAGTCACTCAACCGAAATCAGGTATGGGAGCTCACAGAGGCACCAAAGAATCGCACAACGATAAACTGCAAATGGACATACAAATTAAAAAGAGATGTCAATGGTAATATTCAGAGGTACAAGGCAAGACTTGTCGCGCGCGGATTCAGACAACGAATGGGAATTGACTACCAGAAAACGCACAGTCCAGTGGTTCGTTTCGACTCAATTCGTGCTATCCTCGCTGTTGCTTCCTGCGAGCACATGCGAATCAAACAATTCGATGTGAAAACGGCCTTTCTATACGGCGACATCGAGGAAACCATCTACATGCAGCAACCCGAAGGATACGAAGACGGAACCGGAAGAGTTTGCAAATTGAGACGCAGCCTGTATGGATTAAAGCAATCCTCTCGATGTTGGAACAAACGATTCACCGGTTTTCTACAAAGATTCCAATTGAAGGCAGCAAACGCAGATCCATGCGTATTCACGAGCCAAAAACAAGAACAGAAACTAATTTTGGTCATCTACATTGACGACGGTCTGGTAGTAGCACAGGACCAGGAACTGATAAGTAACCTTCTCAACGAGCTCAAAGGCGAATTCGAGATAACGTATCATGATGCAAATCTGTTCTTAGGTATGCATATCGAACGAGCACCCGATGGATCTATTTTTCTACATCAGGAAACTTACGCAAGAAGAGTTTTCGAACGGTTCAAAAGAGAGGCCAACCCTGTTGCTATTCCTGCAGACCCTCATCAAGAATTAGCACAAGCGGGAGATCAAAGCGAAGCACCTTATCGTGAAGCCGTCGGAAGCCTTATGTACTTGTCAGTAGCTACGAGACCACATATCACATTTGCCGTGAATCGGGCCAGCCGGTATTTAGAAAAACCCACAACGACACAATGGAAGGCTGTGAAACGAATATTAAAATATTTAAAAGGTACAATTAGTTACGGACTCAAGTTCAAAGGCGGCCACAGAAAAGAATTATACGCGACGCAGATTACGCTGGAGACCTGGAAACACGAAGGTCGACGACAGGATACGTCCTAAAATTGGCCTCGGGGACGATTTCATGGAACTCGCAGAGGCAACACGTCGTTGCATTATCAACTACAGATACAGAATACATGGCTGCATGCTAGACAGCCAAAGAAATAGCCTGGATGAAAACTCTAGTCAAGAAACTGTTAGATATCAAGGATGTACACAGACGCTATATATGGACAATCAGAGTGCAATAAGTCTTATTAAAAGTCCAGTATTTCATAAAAGAGTCAAGCACATCGACGTGCGATTCCATTATATTCGAGAACAATATATAGGAAAGGAGTTCTCGCTGGAATAATTAGCATCAAAGGAACAACACGCGGACATTCTGACGAAACCACTACCTCGACAGCAGCATCAGTACCATCGAGAGACATTGGGAGTCCACGAAAAACATTTTAAAACAGAAAAACGAATATAAGGACGATAAAACCAAAGCGGGAGTGTTGGAGAAATTGTTTTTACCGGCCAATCTCGTTCCACCCTTTGATACCGACAGCGACCTTTTCTATCTTTTTCTAACTTACTTACCTTCTTCCTCCCGACTCTTTTGTTCTCTCGTTCCTACAAGGACACGTTATTTTATCACTCAATAAAGCTATAATTTTCTCGTGCATCCAGTGATATTTATTTGTGCCTGCCTAATTATAACAAAATCGATTATTGAAACTTGCTGCAAATGCCACATGTTCTCGTAAAAATATAACACATTCACTTGCTACAAAAGAACAGTTCTATCTTTGTTATAGATTTTTATCTACAATGGGTTTGATTGATAATCAAAAACTAGGTCCAATACTTTTTGCGGATAACATTTCATAAGAACTCTTTACCAGCAAATTTTATGAGCAAATGTTTAGAAGTTTCTTGGGCTGAATTTAGAGGAATTATTTATAAACCTGATTTATGTGTTGTTTTAAATATTTCCACTAATCATCTTCTTCAGTTTGGCATTGTAAGACACGTTTTTTGTAATGATTCTAATAATTTATGTTTAGTATGCCAAAATCTCCTCAATATAGGATTCTGCGAAGCTCCTTATGGTTATGAAGTTGAAATATTATCAGAAATGTCTTGTGTTGTTGTTGAAAATTTATGTCATCTTTTCCCTGCTATTATTGCACGTTTATCTAAAAGTGGAATTCTGTTGGTCTCAACCAAACATGCTTTGTAAATTTATAGTTATTTATAGTAATAATATTAATAATTAATATTAATAAAGTATAGTATTTTAAGTAATAAAGTATAGTATTTTAAGTTACTTTATGGTATAGTATTTTTATACTTACTTGTGGTATAATAATTGATATAAAAAAATAATGGTATAATATATAATAATTTTTCTCTGTGCACAATACTTATGGTACAATATAAGTCAATTCCGTATGTAATAATTTTTCTGTATGCAATTTAATTCTCTATGTATTAATAATAATTTTTTTCATGATATAAGTCTATTTCGCATATAATAAGATTTCTCTATGCAATTGTTGTATTGGAAAAATAATGTGGTACGTAATTGTATACAATATAATTTTGTATGAAATATATGTATACATTCAATATAAATTTATTATTTCATTATTTATAAAAAACCATACCAATAAAATAAAAAACTCGTTTTTTAACTAAAAAGTTGTGTTAACCTAACTAAATAAATTTAGTAGTGAAATAAATTTCTTCTTGTTAAATCTACCAGAATTTCTTGATAATCTAACTAAATGAATTTAGATATCTATCAGAATTTTTTGATGACCTAACTAAATGAATTTGATTATCTATCAGAATTTCTTGATGACCTAACTAAAGGAATTTATCATGCTCGTCTGGTAATTTCTATAAGAATTCTGATTCGTCCATTTTCGAACAGATGTATTGGTTGAATCTACCAGAATTCCTTATAATGCAACAAGACTTTTTTTCCAGTGTACTAACGTACGATACGAATACCTTACCTTCACTGAACACAAGATATGAACCGTATCATTTACAACACAAATAATACGCGTTTATGTTTACAAATTAACAAGACCTTAAGTCCTTTAAATTTTGTACATAAAGAGCAAACCGATATCCAAATATGCTATCTTAACTCTATTGGAAAATAAAACAAGCTATAATTTGAAAACAAGGTCATATCGGACATATGTTTATATGAATTTTTTCTCTTATTTTTGTGTCCTGAATCCCCCATTGCAATACTTCCCACTTTTTAGGATACACCCTGTATATATACAGCGTGTTCGACAAGTAAGTGATCAAACGAAAGATGTGCGTGCGTGCGTGCGTGCGTGCGTGCGTGCGTGTGTGTGTGTAATTTTTTTTATATGTGTAAATATATCACTTAAAAATAATAAAAATAATAATACTTTTATTGTTTAATAATATATTTATCTCTCTTTTACAAATTTTAATAGTTTCTCATCGGCAGCTTGTCCGCAACAAGCTTATAGCGAACGAGATGAGCATTGAGAGTGAGCAAGAGATATATATGAATGCGAGTAAGACAATATAGGAATGAGACAATCATAGAAGCAAGCAAGAGGAAAATAGC